TTTTTTGATTTATTGTAGAGATGAGGTCTCGCTGCCCAGGCGGGTCTCAAACCCGCAGGCGCAGGCAATCCACTCGCCTCAGTCTCCCAAAGGCGCGGGATTACAGGCTAAGCCACTGAGCCCGGCTCTCTTTGCTCTTTTTCACACTGTTGCCTCACCCTGTAATTCAGCTCCACATCCTTTTCATGTTTCAAACCCCACCTCAAACCAAGGTAGGTCAAGCACATTTCAGGAATACTCTGAAGAAGATTACTCAAAGGGAGGCAGATCTAGATAGCTAAAGCTCCTTCTAGGTCAAAATTCTCTTTGATCTTTTTTATCCTGTCAAAAATTGATCTCTACTTGTTTCCTTGGATTGGTTGTACAGCTCCAATTATTGATTCCTGAGACTAATAATCATCTCCTTGACATTTTATCCTTGAAAACCATATCAGAGTGTGAAACACATTAAGAAGGTAACCTGATTGATTTCCTGATCTGAGTATCAATGGAAAATGTTTATGAACTTTTCATTTTTGTTGAGGAAAGGCAAAATGAACTGGACTTAAATTGTAAAACATAAGATTGAGTTCATATAGAATTAATTTCCTGCTAGTAAAAGATATTACACTTCCCATTCAGTATTATGAAAGGAAATGAGATAGCTCATTCCTCAGAGGCAGTCCAAATAATCTAAATGACGTCTGTAGTTTGTTTTAGTAGTCGCCTTGTTGGACTCATGGAAGAAGGATAAGTCGACCTTCCAAAGTCTCTCTTATACTTGAGAAATACATATATTCAAACATTGGTACACCATACTGTGAGTCCATAATATACCGACTAATAGTTCAACAAAGAAATACTTGTTATTGATATGTTCCTATGTGTACATATTTTGGAAAAAAGTAGAACATTTCTAGTGACTTGAGATTTGATTAATTGCCTCATTGGTAGTGTTTTATATAATCTTAAATGCTGTCATGAAAAACTCTTATAAACCCTACATGCCTCTAAATGTCCCTCTCAAAACAATCTGTTTATTTGGCAGGTAATTGCCAATGTGTTTTTTGGTGGGAATCTTGCATCCGTTTTCCACATTGTTGTAACAGTTGTTATCATTACTGTAGCCACGCTTGTGTCATTGCTGATTGATTGCCTTGGAATAGTTTTAGAACTCAATGTAAGTACATTTAAAGATTTACTCCTTTATTTTTAAATTTCCTTTAAAATAATGTTTACATTGAACATAAGATATATTTTCCTTAACAACAGTGTCCCTTTCTGAAGTGAAATGAAAATGTGTTTGCAATATAATAGTAAATATTTATAGTGAGGATACCGTGCACTTTATGGGACTATATAGTTTTTATTTGATTTTAATTAATTAATTTTTTTTTTGAGTTGGAGTCTCACTCTGTCGCCCAGACTGGAGTGCAGTGGCCGCTCCCGGCCACCGCAGCCTAGACCTGACAGGCTCCAGTGATCCTTCCGCCTCAGCCTTCCAAGTAGCTGAAACTATAGGCACGTGCTACCACGCCCAGCTCATTTTGATTTATTGTAGAGATGAGGTCTTGCCAAGTTGCCCAGGTGGGTCTCGAACCCGTGGGCTCAGGCAATCCACTCACCTCAGCCTCCCAAAGGCGCGGGATTACAGGCTGAGCCACGTAGCCCGGCAGGACTATATAGTTTTTAAGTAGTGATTCTCAAATGGGGTCAGTTTTGTTTTTCATCCCCCAAGGGATAAAGGGACATCTGGCAATGACTGGACACATTTTTGGTTGTCCCAACTGGGTAGGCAGTGCTACTGGCATCTAGCAGGTAGAGACCAGAGATACACATCCCAAAATGTACAGGACAGCCTCTCATAACAAAAAATTGGCTGATCCAAAATGTCAATAGTGCCGAGGTTGAAAAACCCTGGTTTAGACCACTTTTTGCATATCTCATTTACTGTAATACAGAGGTATTACTAAAAAGCACTATAAATTAAGTGGATCTGAAATTTTCTTTGTGGAGTAAAAATATGTACAGTGAGGCTTGCATCTGTAATCCCAGCACACTTGAGTTCAGGAGTTCAGGGATGCAGTGAGTTGTGATCACATTGCTGTATTCCAGCCTGGGCAGTATAGTAAGATTCTGTCTCTTAAAAAATAAAGTACAGTGAGATTCATTAAAAATACAGAAGGAGGCTGGGCTCGGTGGCTCAGCCTGTAACCCCAGCACTTCCGGAGGCCAAGGTGAGTGGATTGCCTGAGCCCAGGGGTTCAAGACCCACCCAGGCAACTTGGTGAGACCTCGTCTCTACAATAAATCAAAAATTAGCTGGATGTGGTAGTGTGCACCTGTAGTTCCAGCTACTTGGAAGGCTGAGGCAGAAGGATCACTGGAGCCCAGCAGGTCGAGGCTGCAGTGGCCAGGAGCATGCCACTGCACTCCAGTCTGGGCGACAGAGTGAGACCCCAACTCAAAAAAAAAAAAATGGAAGAAGTAGAGTTATATCTATATTACATATTCATTTACTATAGCCCAATTTCTTATTCTTAAATTTTTTTCTGGTCTCTCCAGACCTTTCTTTTGCGGTCCATACTACCATTACCCAAATCTAAGTCTTCATCGTATCACATTTAAATTAATCCTGGCAATTTTGTTTCAGCTCTCACATATTTAACTTCCACTTTCAGTTTCTTAGCATTTTGTTCAAAAATTTCCACTTTCTTACCAGAGCAAGTATAAACTCTGTTGGTTCTGTAACCTGACCCCATGCCTTCTAGGGAAAGTTAGTTCCCATTTACTTTCCAAATCTACCCTCAGTTCTAGTCAAGTCTTAATCTTTTGGCCTGTGAATAAGCCAAATCAAGTATTTCTGTTATCTTTTGTCTTATCTATTTTTGTATTTCCTATCTTTTTTCTCATTTCTGTCCAAAGCATACAAAGAATTCAAGATCAAGTGCAACTTTTTTTAAATTTTCAATATGTGGGGTACAGTTCAGAGTTAGGTATACAAATGGTCATTATGCAGGGACCCTTGTTGATGAGGAGTGCCCTCCTCCTTTCCCCAAGTGCAACTTCTAACTAATTTATTCACTGAGTAATAACTATGTGCCACACAATAGAATATGACAGAAGAAAATGAAAAGGACTCTACACTTTCTCACAAATAAACATAAAAGTTCAACTGCATTATGGGTGATAAAGAAGACAGAGAGGGCCGGGCTCGGTGGCTCAGCCCATAATCCCAGCACTTTGGGAGGCCGAGGCGAGAGGATTGCCTCAGCCTGCGGGTTCGAGACCCACCAGGGCAACTTGATGAGACCTCATCTCTACGATAAAATTAAAAAACAAAACTAACTGGGTGTGGTAGCACACGCCTGTAGTTCCAGCTACTTGGAAGGCTGAGGCAGAAGGATTGCTGGAGCCCAGCAGGTTGAGGCTGCAGTGGCTGGGAGCATGCCACTGCACTCCAGCCTGGGTGACAAAGTGAGACTCCAACTCAAAAAAAAAAAAAAAAAAAAGAAGAAGAAGACAGAGAGGAGTGAATGTGCTTCCAACAGACATTTTTTAGAACAGATTGGCACAATTTGGTGGGAAATTCAATTGGAAAGATGGGGTTAAAGGGACACATTAAGAATGATTCCTTGGCTCTATTTTGTGAAATTAGGATGATGGTGCCACTTCGTGAGAGAGGAATGAAAGTGGACCTTCCAGGCCGGGTGTGGTGGCTCATGTCTATAATTCCAGCACTTTGGGAGGCTGAGGTGAGAGGATTGCCTGAATACATGGGCTAAAGACCAGCATGGGCAACTTGGCAAAACTTCATCTCTACAGTAAATCAAAAAATTAACCGGGCGGTGGTGTGTACCTGTAGTTCCAGTTACTTGGCGGGCTGAGGCAGAAGGTTCACCTGAACCCAGCAGGTTGAGGCTGCGGTGGCCGTGAGTGTGCCACTGCACTCCAGCCTGGGCGACAGAGTGAGACTCCAACTCAAAACAAAAACAAAAACAAATCACGACAAGGTCATTCATCTTCCTCTTCTACAGTTTTTACAGAATTTCTCATCAGAATCACCCACCATTTAGCATTTAGCATTTATTGGTTATACACTACAAGGAAGGCAGACTTGTACAGGTGTGATCCCAAGTCATCACTTACTCATTGCATTGACCATTGAGGCATAAATAAAGGTATTATTGTCAGTGTCCAAGTCACTAATCCATCTAGACACCATTTTGCTTTGAAGTTCCAGACAAAAGCACTAAGATTCAGTGAGAGACACACTATTGGGAATTTTCTTATAAATGGGAAGTGGGGAGTAGGCAGTATTCCAAAACCTCAGGGGGCTGGGAAATTGTCTGTTCCACCAACAGTGGAAAGAAAGCTCATAGGAGAGATGAACAAATGTCAAAAGTAACTTTTACTTCCTTTCTAATTTTTCTTTTCTTTTTTTTTTTTTTTTTGAGTAGGAGTCTCATTCTGTTGCCCAGACTGGAGTGCAGTGGCCGCTCCCGGCCACCGCAGCCTCGACCCGCTGGGCTCCGGCGATCCTTCAGCCTCAGCCTTCCAAGTAGCTGGAACTACAAGCATGCGCTACCACACCCGGCTAATTTTTGATTTATTGTAGAGATGAAGTCTCGCCAAGTTGCCCAGGTGGGTCTCGAACCCACAGGCTCAGGCAATCCACTCACCTCAGCCTCCCAAAGGCATGGAATTACAGGCTGAACCACCGAGCCTGGCTCCTTCCTAATTTTTCATAAGCCAAAGGCTAATGAGTCCACTAAAAACCATTTCATATACCAATCTTGATTTGTATAAATGAATCACTACTCCTTTAATGCACCTACTTGATTTACGTATTATCTCATATCATGCACTGTTTGAACTGCCCATAAATGTATCTTATCTATCAAATTGTAAACTCTTTGGAAGATAAGAACATTTAACATCCTTCTCCATCATCCACAGTATCTGGCACAGTGCTGAGAACACAGTGTTCAAACTACTGCCACTTGGGACTACAGTTCAGGATCTATTTCTATAAATATTACTGGATGTAAAAGACTTTCTTTTATTTTTTAGTCAGAGTATTACTCTGTCACCTAGGCTGGAGTGCAGTGGCACGATCATGGCTAGCAGCAGTCTCAACCTCCTAGGCTCAGATTTAAAAGATTCTTCCACCTCAGCTTCCCAAGAAACTGGGACTACAGGCATGTGCCACCATGCCTGTCTAATTTTTGTTGACATTTTTTGGAGATGAGGTCTCCCTATGTTGCCAAGGCTGGTCTCGAACTCCTGAACTCAAGCAGTCTTCCCACCTCAGCCTCCCAAAGTGCATGAGCCACTAAGCCTTGCCCAAGACGTTGTTTTTTTTTTGTTTGTTTGTTTTGTTTTTTGAGTTGGAGTCTCACTCTGTCGCCCAGACTGGAATGCAGTGGCCGCTCCCGGCCACCGCAGCCTCGACCTGCTGGGCTCCAGCAATCCTTCCGCCTCAGCCGTCCAAGTAGCTGGAACTACAGGTGTGCACTACCACACCTGGCTCATTTTGATTTACTGTAGAGATGAGGTCTCACCAAGTTGCCCAGGCGGGTCTTGAACCCGCGGGCTTAGGCAATCCACTCACCTCAGCCTCCCAAAGGCACGGGATTACAGACTGAGCCACCGAGCCTGGCTGTCCGAGACATTGTTTAGTGTAGTACCGGGAAGTTAAGTGTTACAAAAATTACTGGTGTTGATAGTAGTAGTAATTTTCTACTGTGCTGTGGAGATGATTAACATAATTATTTCTAGCTCTGTTTTTTTTTTTTGTCTTTTATGAAATGTCTCATTTGAGTCCACGAGTCTGTTTTTTAATATTGTAAGATTTTGTTATGAGAGAAAATGTTTATCTGCCTGAACACTTACCACATCCTGATAGCCTAACATAACCTTTTAAGTTAACCAAGCATAGCCGGGCATGGTGGTGTGTGTCTGTGTTTCCAGCTACTTGGAAGGCTGAGGCGGAAGGATTACCTGAACCCAGCAGATCAAGGCTGCGGTGGCTGTGAGTGTGCCACTGCACTCCAGCCTGGGTGACAGTGAAACTCTGACTCAAAAAAAAAAAAAAAGTTAACCAAGCATAAATATATTGCTCATTTTTCTGAAATGATATACTTTTTGTAAATTTAACCATTATTCTGTAAAGTTAAT